TCCTCTCTCTGAAATCAATAAAGATCTATTTTTTAAAAATTTAAAAAAACTTAATTTAATCATATCTGCAAAGTCCTTTTTTGGAACATTGACAGGTTCTGGAGACTAGGATGTGAATATATTTGGGGGTAGGGGCCATTATCCAGCCTGCCACAGCTGCCTCCAAATAAACCCTAAGCAATTAGGCGAGCACATGCTAATCTCTTCAAGCCTACTCTGATCAACTATACTCAAGTTCTCTGTCCAGTAAGCAAAAGTTCTCCAACTTAATACCTCTTCCTCTTCACAACCAGCCTATAATCAGGAAATTGCTAATTCTATATTCGTTAAAGGCATTGCTAACTACTGTTAATGGTTCCTGAATGAGAAAAGAAGCAGTAGAGATTAAAACTCCCTCCCAGTAGCATGGGAGAGCAAAGACAGCTTGCCTGGGTTCAAATCCCAGTCTCACCAACTGGCAACTGTGTGACCAAAAGCAATTTAACCTCTGTGCCAGGTTTTCCCATCTAGCAAACAAAGCTAATAATACTATCTGCTTCATAGGGTTGTTGCAAGTATTAAAGGAGCTGATATTGATAAATATCAGTGGTATAAATATCAGCACCTAGAACAGTGCTTGACTCAATCAAAACTGTTATTACTAATGATGCCCAAACACTGCAGACACACAGATATTATTAATGGACAGGGTGAAAAAATCTCTCACAACCAAAATTGAGGGTACTGTAATGACATAATTAAACAATAATAAACAATCTATTCAATGTAAACCGTAAGATTAGATGCAAGATTTACACTAAAGTCTGTAAGAACTTTTAAAGGATATTCCTAATTAAAAAGAGCTCCTCTGCCAAGTTATATCACCAAATTTACAGGCCCCCTTTCAAAAGACTGGCCTACATCCCAGAGAGAGAGATTTCTCCAGAAGCCACATATCCTGCTCTCACTCTGGATCTGGTGGCCACTGCTGTGTGTACCATGTGTTTCTAACAGTAGCGGGAGGTAGGAATGGAGTGTCCAGTACCCCTGAAAGGCAATTGCTTTGTTTTGTTCTGGAAGGGAAACAGGTCCAGGTGTACTAAGGGTGTGGCCTAGGGCAGGTACCAAGCTTAATGATCCTACTAAATACTATCCACTTTTACAAAGTCTTCACCCAGGTACCTGCTTTGTCTTCCCAGCCTCCAGTTTGTATCCTGTCTCCTAGCAACTATCCCAGCATCTCAATGCTCACTGCTCACCCATTTTCTACAGAAGCAAAGTTGGTTAGTTCATAAACAGCCCAAAAACGGTAAATTCGTTGTCCAGCCAAACTATCACACATTTACAATAGACTAATTTCTACTATTTACACATATCTATGGGGGAGCAGTTCTATACTATAAACTTTTATACACAATTCAAAAGTAACTTGAGGCCCACAACTATACATTCAGTAGACAACAAAGATGTCTGCTTTATCAGGGCTCAAAGTAAACCAGGGTCTCAGTGGGCACCAGAACTCCTACCTTCTTAAACTAAGACAGGACCAGCTTGCAGCTTTGTAGAGTATGCAAAATACCAAACACCTTAAGTTCTCACTACTCCAGTCACATCACCAACCTACATTACTTGTCCTACTCAAAAGCAGCTGCCTCAGGCAACTAGGTGACCTAATAACTAGGTGACCTGAAGAGATTCAGGCTAACATCACTTCATACCAAATCAAGAGAAAACCAAAACCGACTTGACAGCAGTATGGCAAACTGAACTACAGAACAATTACTTTTGAAGCACTGCTGAGATCTCATGAGGAAGGGTTGCTCTCCAAAGATCACCCTCCATCCCAAAAACAAGAGTTACTAGGTTGGGACTGAGAGCAATGAGAAAGTAGGCAGACTGGGAAGAGCTGTTCAGAAGACAGCCCTGAAATTGGAATTCTGAGCTTTGGGCCAGGAACAGAGTTAGAGCTAAGACTGAATGAAACTCCAGGCCCTCTCAGAGTCCTAGTTCAACAGGGAGGTGGTCCGAAATCAGTGGCACCCCCAGGCGCCTGATTGAAACACACTCAAATAACCTCAGGACACAAGCATCCCCAATTAGGCCTCCTGGAAAATAGGTTAAGGTGAAGCTATGAGCTTACAAAGATCAACAAGCACAGGGGGGAGAGAGCAAGCCACCACTGAGTTCAAGTCAATGGAGGCAGTCCAAAGATTGCACATACCAGGACTATCAAATAAGGAAGAAAGAGTCAAGTAAGAAAGAAAGAAAAGAAATAAGAGTAAAAAAGAGAACTATTGAGAATGACCAGGCAGATTTGACAAAGAAGCAAATGGAACTTACAGAAATAAAAAAATAATTGATTAAACTCAAATAGAACAGCTTAGACAACAGATTAAGCATAGCTAACAAAATCTGTAAAATGGAAAACATATCTAAAGAATTAACTAACAGTGGAAATTGTACCCCACCCCCACTATTCTTCTGACATTTTTTCTGTAGCGCTGACTCTGAGTAATATGTAGCTTGTAGATAAACAGCATGTTTGTATAAAAATCCTAGGAACTAACTTCAGAAGATACGGGCCCCGACCTTTAGTCATGCCAGTTCCAGGAGATTTGTTGACCTTCAACCACAGAACCAGGATGAAGCAGAACCACGATGAAGACCAGGATGGCGCATACCAAACCATCACTGGACCACTTTTGAGATCCTTATCAGAATGGACTCTGCTGGCCTGCACATAGAGAACGTTTCAACCCCCTCTCCTTGATTTCTCTGTTCTGCTTTCCCTCTCCCTCCTTGTAAAAACCTCTGCCCACACTGAGATACTGAGATGGGCTTTGTGACAAGAGTCCCCCATCTCCTCAGGTGACTGGCACCTGAATAGAACCTCTTTCCTTTTCAGCAGCATCTGTCTCACAAGTTTGGTTTTCATGGTGGCAGGGAGTGGAACCTAGGTTTCGGTTACATTAGCATGTAAGCAAGAATCTAAATTAGCCCAGCCAGAGTTCACCGGTTCAAATCCCAGTCAGGGCACGTGCCAGGGTTTCGGGCTCAATCTCCAGTGGGGGTGTGCAGGAGGCAGCCCATCAATGTTTCTCTCTCATCGATGTTTCCATCTCTCTATCCCTCTCCTCTCCTCTCTCTCTAAAATCAATAAAACCATTTTTTAAAAAGTAACCTTTAAAAAAAAAGAATCTAAATTAGTTTCAGAGAGTATGAAGGGTCTAAATTACTTCTAAATTAATTATGAAGTCATGGTTCAAATAAGACTCCTATCTGAAAACACAGTATTTCAGGTATGTTTATTAGTTTTAGAGCTTAAAAGTATTGTTTTATTGTGTTCATCTTTATAATAACCCTTTCCAAACACCTAAGAAATGAAAAACAGCATAGACTAGAACTCAAATCACCTGATATTAATTTAGGTTTTGTTTTCATCACATTCTTGCTCCAAGTGAGTCACAGAAACTTACATCCTGCATATTCTGGAGTACAGGAGTCAAAGACAAAATGAAATGATGTTTTTAACCCAGAGAGCAAACTGTAAAAGGAAGAACAGAAATTGCCCCAGTGGAATCTTCTCCTATTGGGCAGGATGTTTCATTGCCAATTTAACCCTATCCTATTAATTCCTCAACTCTGTCAAGATAACAATCAACAACACATCTGATCGTCCAGCAAAATTTCACCATTCCTGTGGGCATCTTGGTACTTAATTTGTCATAATTAATCCATGTTGGCTCTCATTTCCAGTGTTCTGAAGCATCTCAGAGCTCTGCTCCCCGTTTTACTCAATTATCACTTTTAACTGTTATACTTAGCAATTCGCTCCTCTCCCACAAGTCTTTATCCCCTTAATCTGTGTATCCTAACTTAAATTCCTAATGACTTATTTGTTCACAGAAGGCACATTCTGTACTGTAAAATTTCACCTGTGACTAAAACAAGTGTTTTTCCATATTCCTAAGTAAAATGGAAGGGTCAGTATTAAATTTTTAATTCTGTTGGTCTCAACCCGTCAATACTCTGTCATTTACCTCTACAGACACACACACCAAACTATCATCACTGCCTATTCTTCCACTAGTTGACAAAGAGATTTACAGAACACTAACCAGGACACCCTCCCTGGGTGTTAAAGTGAGTAAGAGAAGCGATCCAAACAGCAAATTTCAAAAACTCGGACTCCTTTCCAACCAAAACAACATTCTTTAGCAATGACCCAATGGCCCCGCCCAAGTTTTAAAACGAACCGTTTGGACTTGGAAAATTATACCTACCTTAAAAAGTTTTTCTTGGGGGGGGGGGGG